CGCCAGGCTATAATACTTGCCAGTTCCTTTATGGAATCACCAACTGAAAGAAGATTAAAGACGGCGTGAAACGTCGTTATCGTAGACTTCCTTAAGTTAGTTCTTCATAAATAGATTTCCGACGCGGCGTTCTGAAATCTTCCTCAGTTTATCGAAGTCTGCTCAGAATCGTTTACCCTCTTAACATATTACAGCTATTTTACTACTATATTCAGTCACACAGTTATTTTATTGCATTAAGTATTACCAAGTTACTTATGGTCTGTTAATATTTAAAGATCATTGTCATATTAAGTACTTGTTTTTAAAGAAATACTTATAATTCTTTTTTATTCGTAATCTTAAAAGATTGCCATACTCGTTCTTATTAAGCAATTGTGATAATGAAGCGCCAAGTAGTAACTTTTAAACAATTAAAACCCCCATGACAGAGAAAGTATTATATATATCATTGTAAAGCTGAATATCTTCACTTTCATGCAGGATTTGAATTTTTTGCAGGATTTGACATTTGTGCGATTGCAAACCATTAACCGATTCTAATCAGAATGTGTGCCATTAATCTGGACATACAATTTTCCCTTTAAGAGTGCTAATTTTCTATGTAAACTTTAATATGGGACTTTTTTATCAACCGCTGTTTCGTTTCCGCGAAATTTCATTTGCATTCGGATATCCGAAGGTCGTTTCGCAAACTTACGCAAGCCACGAAAATTACCCGGTCGTCCGGCACACCGAAATAGCGAATGGTGGTCACAGCAAAAGAATCGGATGTGCGAGGGTAGAGTTGAAAGAGAAAGCAACAGAGCAGAGAAAAATGTTAAGGGCGCAACGCCTGGAAAAGGTTATGAGATCGTTCCACTGTACTGTCTGCTTTATATTCTCGTCTGCATTCCTGGTTATGAAGTCGTTCTTTTTCCCGTGGAAAACGTCTTCCAGATGTGTACGTAGCCGAGGAGCATGCAGATAGACGCGCAACGGTAGCTTAGTAAGCGGCAGCGGAAAAGACACGCGGGAGACTGAAAACCAGAAGAACAAATCGAGTCCTCGAAGAGAAACGAAAAGATAGAAGTCGAAAATATATATACAAATATAACAGAGTACGGGGATGAGCAAAGATAAAGAGAAGAATGGCTGGAGATATAGTGGTTGATAAAAATAGGAAAACATGGTAAAGGAAAGAATTGCATTGGAAAGGCAATTCGCGTACAACCGCGAGTTCCTCCTTTCTGCATACGTCTCTTGTAATCAGATCTTTCAACTGGGGAAATGAAGAATGAAAAATGAGAGAAATGGTTATGAATAAGGAAGGTTCATTCGACTCGAACGAAAGGTTCCCTTTGAATCTGATTTCACATGATTTTCAAGTAAATAAGAAGATGATATAATACTTCCCATGGAAGTTATTCGATTATCTTGAAAGTTGATTATTCGGCGAAATAGAGCCGCGATTGATCTGATAACGGAGAATTTCGTGCATGGAATTATAGAGGGACAGAAACGAATGCATGATACGACCATGAGTCTGGATATTGCGTGTTCGTTGTACCCTGGGAGTGATAACGGAGATAGTGCCACTCGTCTAGCTAATTACTAGTCACCAACTATATGACTCCTGGGAGTTGGCTCGCGAGTGTAGGATGTAGGTGTATGTAGGGAACTGGGCTGGACGGTGCACTAAAGCTGGAATCTTGATCCTTACATAATACACGAATAAAGGTTCATCATATGTGCGGATCGCTTGTCTTCGTCACGACGTTCCTATGCTTCCATGGATCACCTTGACAATGTCACCTGTTTTGAGAAACCTTTTAGAAATTGAGTGTATTATCATTATAATATGCTGCGATATTTCATTTATTGTAATAATATATATTTATATTGTTATAATTGTAATAACGTAATTTTCATTTAGCACTGTTATTTTGAAAAAAGTAAGGTCGGTCGGAGTAGAAAAAATAGAGTGCATAGCGTTCGAAGTTCACATAGAAACTACAGATAACCCGAAAACCGCAGACCAATAACTTCAATATAGTAGGCACATGAAAGTATCATCGCTTGCGTGATATCGGAAATAACGGCAACCTCGTTCGCGCCCGGAGAAGCGTTTTTCAGCGCTATTTCACTCGACTCTCTTTCACCATCCCCTTCACTATTCCTCTTCCATGGATGGAAATTTCACGTAGACTTATCAAATGGACCGAGGAACGAGTCTCTCCAATCACCATAATTAGAATACATATGGGGAAAAAGAAACGAAAGTTCGAACCTTCAAACATCTACACTAAAAACACTTTTAATTAAATTTATTTCCAAAGGAATTCGATACACTTCGAAGCATCAATTTCATTAACAATACGAATTATCAAATCCTTTATTTAATCAGGAAATACAGATACAGAAAATCAAATCTGTACTTAAATTTAAATTACAACAACAATCAACAATGGAATCCAGAAACGTCGATATTAATTAGGAGCGATTGATTTCAAGGAATTTCTGTGCGAAGCTGCAATACTTTTCGGCTCGATCAGGGTGAAAGGTTCTTTCGTTTTCCACCTCTCCGCGTGATATTGGCGATCGGCGAAGTGGTGTGGTTACACGCTAGCCGAACACGGACACGAACTTTTCCATGTGCTTCTGCACAGTTTTCGCGCTTCGCTGACCACAATTTTTCTTCTCTTGATGTGCTGGGTGACACTATTTCAACGATTGGTTACACCAGCACGCGGGTTGGACAGTTCACAGCAAGGAAACTCTACTAGTAACTGCGAAACTTTCACCAAAGAGAAGATGACGATTGGTTTCCGGCTGAAAACAGCTTCCAGACGCCAATTATCAGATTCCTGGTGCCGCTGGTATGACCATGACTGGCCAACCGGTGACCACTCGAGCGATAACCGAAACTCCTATCAGGATTTTCTCGGTGTTCTCTCGCGAGTTTCCATCGCGAATTTCCATCGTGAATTAGCGGGTATGCAGATAGCTGCGCCATTATCTGGCGAGAACAGCACCTGGAGCCCGTCTTTTCGAGCTGCTCGACGAGCAAAGAGCTAAGTAACGGAGAACCTACGATAACGAAACGAAATTGTTCCATTAATTATTCTCCCGAGGATTTTCGACTAAATTCATTTCGTTGTCAGCTTTCGAGCCTCGAGCAAGTCTATTGTGTATCCCCTTCGTTTGTTGTAACGTTGAGGATTTCGAATTTTGTTAAATGCTTTTGCTAATGATTAAAGTTTTTAGAAGGACGCAGGAGATTCAGGTGAATAGTAAAGAGGATAAAGAAACGGACAAAAGCACGGTCGAACGAAGTGATGGAGCGGAAATTAAGAAAAGGCTATCCTGTAACCAGTCGACTAACGGGAACCGGGAAATGAACGTTAAGAAATAAAAGTAACGCAATTTACGAGCAATGTCGTTTTCGGAACAGTATTTATGGATACTTACTCTACGTGTTCTCCCTCGTTTCGATGGAATATTAGTCAGGTTAATACCTTCCGTAGGAGATTTTCAAAGATTTTTGGAATATCATGTTGTTAGATTATGGTTTTCGTTGTTCAAATTTTCTAAATTTTTTTTTTATCATAAATACTTTTATTTTCGTAAATGTACTATTGTATGTCATTTCGAAGCTGGGGGTTTCCTCTTTCATAACCGAGTTTCTTTTTTAACATTTACATATAAATAATGCTGTTCAAAATCCATTTATGAATGTTGAAAAGTTCGATATTTCGCATATTACAATGTAATATATCGAGCATAAAAAAATTTCTCAAAAGTGAGATGCTAAAAACCAATAATAAAAGGTTACAATTTGGATTACGAAATTTAATATTTGCAACAATTTATCGAGTCAAACGACAAAGAGGAATATTAAATTTTAAAGAACACAGAAAATCGGACCAGAGGAAGGGGGGAACTATCGAAATAAATATCATATCTCGGTGGCAATTCCGTTTCCCGGTAAACATTTCGAATCGTTTGATTGATTAAAACGGGTGCGTATTAAACGAATTAAAACGATAAAACGTGCTTTAACGGAACACGGCGGAAAGATAAAAGTTATGGGACACGGGAATTTTACGATTTCAGTTTGTAGCCGACATTTTACATAAGCCGCGCACACTCGTATCTCCTATTTGCTCTTGCGTGGTTTGCGGTGCATACATCTCGCCACATGCGCCCGCACCAATAGGTACACGTGCACACAGCCACCAGCCTCATATTATGCAGCCCCGGGATAGCATTATGCATTTGTCGCATGTGTGCTATGTTCTAAGCTCATGATAGAATCTTTAATTGACCGAAAGGAAAGATTAAACAATGTTAAAAAATTTAGAAATTAATACAGTGACTTACGAATGTATTTGAATTCTCATCATAGAAATATTTTATAATGTCAGGATCTCTAATCGAATAAACACGATGGACAGTGTTAAAAATTTATAAATTTATACAGTGACTCACGATAGTGTCCGAGCACTCACCAGAGAAAATTTTATTAACGCTGTAATGAGACATGCATAACTATGGACGTGGTTATGTTGGTAAGTTATGAGATATTTGCTGCAGATTAAAAAGTAATCCAAGAGAAGGTATTTGAAACTTAACAGTAGAATAAGCATAGGAAATGGTTGTCTGGGAATAGGATGGATATGGATGGATATTCGAGGTTTGGGAATGGAGCAATCTAGGAACTGAATAAACCTGGATTCTTAGGATCAAGGGATCGAAAAGTATTCGCCTAAAATTTAGTATCAGTGAATATAAAAGCTCTCATCTTGCTTTAAAACAATTACTTTATCTTTATTTGAATATAGAAATTGCATATCGGTTCAACATTGCAGCTATTAATTGTCATACACTGTTAAAAACAATGTTACATTATAGTAGCATTATAATTGGAGTCATGTTACACACCCGTAATAGATAATAGGGAAGCAATGGCCGGAGATATGGAATAAATCCCTTAACCATATTGTTCTGCTATGTTTCAGATTCGTAGAACGTTAGGTATCAGAACGATGTGAGAGGAATATATGGGTGAACACCAAACGGGCAAGGAAGATTCGACGAAATCACGAACACGTGGCGGGACGTGAAGCGGGGTGAGCTTTCTTATAAATTTTATATAAATAATTTTTTGAAAATGTAGTTTATTGACTTTTATTTTAATAAAAGATTATTCTGTTTCATTGCAATTCTCGTTCGTTCCCCACATAATTTACTCATATAATGATTGATTACATAATTAGACGAATAGACGTCTGACAGAAAAATTGTATCGCTCCTCGAAGAAGAGAAATGAAAATCAAACATGGTAACTGTCTTCTTGATTAATCTTTGAGAACTTAAAAAATATAAAATGTAAGGTTTAGATTCTGCCAACATACATCTTAGACAGTACATTAGCCAGCTTCGTGGCATGTCCGCGAAAAAAAATTGGATTCTGAAACGAAAGTTGGCCGGCGGCTCGGTTGTGGAAGCTCGAGAGACTGGAGATAAACGACCTGGTATTCGGATAAATAAAATTCCCCCTGCTGTTTCGCCGAGGCTAGAATTTTCTCGTTCGAGCTGACCGCGTGCGTGTATCGTTGAATTTCGGCTCACGTATCTTAACAAAGTAACCCTGTGGATTCTGGATAAAGAATAGAAACCATAGCAACCGAAAAACAACGTTTGACGAATAATTGTTCCCGAAAGAACAAACTGTTGCAAAAACCAAAAGAAATAGGACCAATATTCGACCGTCTGTATGTAAAAGGACGAAAAAAACAAAAGAAAACAAGATAGAGTTGCTCCGATTATTCGTGAAATTCGTTACGTTTGGAACGACGGAAACGGTCGCGTGGTATGTGGAATCTGTTTGTTGTGCAGAATGTGAATAATTTGTACGGCGAGTTGTATCGTGGAATTCCTGGCTAACCGATGCGTCCTGCCTCACATTCGAACCTACCAGACAATAAATTTTCAAAATAATTCGATACCTCTTTCTTTTTCTTCAACCGAATTCCCCGGAATTGTAGGACAGATAGGAAATCTGAAACAAATATTAAGCAATGGTAAAACAAATCTTCTTTGTCAGAGAAACGAGAGATACAACTAAACAGAGAGGAAAACGAAGATCGACAGAGCCGAGGAAAGGGGAAGAAAGTTCGGAAATGATCGGTGGAAGGAAAGCATTTTTCTCCCCCTTGTGATTCAATTTTGTCGGGTTCCAGACACAGGAAAGGGGGAAACCGTGCGGCGCGACAATGCACGCGAGCTGAAATACAATTCGGAATTCTTTCGTGAGTCAGCCGGTGAAAGGCGCAATTTTATCTGGAATTGTGGCTCGTGAATTTGCTTTCAAAGTATCCGCAAACTCGTCGACAGAGAGGCGACAGAGCGAACGATCGTGCAAGATTAGAGCTGCCGTGGCTTGGAAAAAGCGGTCTCCTCGATCTGGCCGGCACAAAAGGATCCAGAGACGAAGAGAAAGAGAAAGGGAGAGGCAGGGGAACGAAGGAATCGAGAAGGAAGGAGGAAGAAGATGGTAAGGGCTATTGGAAAATAGGAAGAGACAAAGAGGATGATTCGGTAGCTGTCGCCACCGCCACCGATTTTCAATGCTTGAAGCTTCTTGCCTTTCGACTATCGTCAAAGGATGAAAATTGAACCGCAGGAAGCTGTACCGTACACCGAGATTGTGAAAAGTTCCGGCCGCCCCGTTCGTAGAGTTTTTCCGCCATGAAAGGAAAGAAATTTCGTGACGAGGGAAGAAAATCGAAAGAATAAAAGAGCCGATATTGATTTTCGAAAAAATTGTCAACGTCGAAATGACATTCTAAACCGTGGAAAATAAGTGGAGTTCAGTGGAACAGGTATTGAATTAAATTTAAACCTTAGAATCTGACTTTGTCTAATTTATCATTGAATGTTCATGAAACAACGTAATGCGAAGGTCTTGTTTCGGCTTAATGAACTAAACGATTGCAGGATATAATTTTGATAGATTCTGTTTATGGTAGAATGCCAGTAAAAATGATCGAAGTGCCATGAGGAAGGTTTTCGTTCTCCGATAGGAGAATGGCGTAATAAAAACTACTTTAGGGTATCCTGAGTAACTTTCTTCTTCAAAAAGAATAATCAATTTCATAAATTCTAATTCGACCAACCAAAATATTCACAAGCGCGGCCATACAATTTTTATCTAGAACTACGAGAGATTCTCAGCGATAGAACGAAAGATGCGAAAAGGGACGAATCCTGACACGACTAGTACGCACTTGATGTTTCAGACGCAACCTCAAAATTAATCATGCAAAGCGTTCCTTGAACGCCGTGCCGTGTCACGAACTGATGCAACGGCACTGTTAATACTTTCTTCCTGGCTTGCGACCAAGCACAAAGGCTAAACATTATTATCCGGCTCGTATAACCCTTCCAATACCAGTGTTTGCATCCTATTTGTACATACGATCGTAAGCATAGCGCAGTGTCAAGGTATGTGCCATGAGACACATATGTTATTACATAGGAGCATTCCTCGCGGCGCTGTGGTTATGAAAATTTAATTAAAACGTGTCTCGACCATACACGCGAGTCTTGCACGAATAACGTGTGTTGCCGACGAGATCTCGCGGTGATGAGTGTTCTTCTTTTGCCTTGGCCCAATGGTAAATTGCGGGGAAAAGAATTATGCGAATGTCGGAGAGCATTTTGTGAATAAGAAGACAGTTTTGGCTGGACTGTGGCCATGTCTTTTTTATTTTCACTGTAGCGGGAACATTTTTTAGAGAAAATGGCGCATAATTATTTAGAGTATACATCTACTGGGAAAGTTTTACACGAGGATGCTTCAGTGGAAATTTTATTTTAAATGTCTCATATCGTGCGCAGAATACGGAGGAATTGAACGTTAAGTAGAATAGTACGTATTAGGTCAGTCACCCTATTCTTCGTATGATTATTTCCGTAGAGAGGAAATTGATATTATCAGAACCTGTTTATTCAGAGAAAGTGAATACTAGGAGATTTTTACTTGAGAATGCTTAAAACAATATGAATTTCATTTTGAATATTTAATATTGTATACAAAGTATGAAATAATTCAATATTGAATAGAATTGGATGATGTTGGGTCAGACAGCGTGTTGTACTAATTAGTTTGGCAAGGGGGAACTGTTTAACAAAAGCTATTTACTGAAAATGTTGGAATATTTTTACACAAGAACACTTCAAACACTTCGCATTTCATTTCAGATGTTTGATATTCTGTGCAGAATACGAAGCTATTGAACGTTAAGTAGAATATGACGATATTGGATCAGACATCGCGTTCTACTTATTGTTAGTCTAGTAAAGAGGAGCTGGATGTTATCAGGAATTGTTAATCTCCTGAAATGTCAATAGTTTCTGTATGTTGGAGTTTCTCAAGGCGTTTCTATAATAGTACCTATAATAGGAAAATGTATTCATCGCCCATAAATCATACTCGAGCTTATGTAATTCAATATTTAAATAATATAAGTATTATATTATTATATTACATAAATATTATAAATATAAAATATGTAAATATTAAAACATCTAAATTCATAAAATAATTAATTACTTTGTATTCCTGATGGATTATTTTGAAAAATGGATTACGATTGACGTAAACGTTTCATATTTAGAAATATACTCGTACTTCACTTCATTTAAGATGAGATAACGGGGTGCAGTCAAGAAAAGACGTAATTTATTAACTCGAGTCAAATTCAGTTGTCATAATTTCGCCGAAAATCGCGTCATTAATTGCGGAAATACCGATAGAACAAGGACGTTGAACTTGATTAAACGTTAATTTCTACATAATTAACGGATCTGTTCTCCGTGTAAAAATAAATACAATTTATTCTTTAATAATCAAATGTAAATTGAGTCTGGAATACATGCACAAAAAACTTATCGAATATTTATATTAATGTAATTTTTATTTCGAATGTCTGTTATTTCTGACAATGTTTTCATTCTGTTTCAGCGTTGAGCCTGCTATGTGTAAAGAAATTCTCCGGCAGCGGCACGATGCTGGAAGCACCGCCCGGAAGTCGGGAGGACCTCGTGGAGGCAGCACGAACACCATGCACACCCACAGGTTAGTCATTCCACGATATACCGCGAACTTTAAATGAAAATTTACAACATTCTCAAACGTAACAATTCCCACGGGGACATCTCATAAATTAACTAAATAAATAACTATAACGAGGTAGTACCGCGTATGTGCCAGAATAGTAACGTGAGTTAAAATTCTCAGAAACATAAAGGAGACGAATTATCATATCTAAACGTTCAATTTCAGTGCACAAACGAATTGGTTGAACGTTCCAGGATGAAATATCAAGCTTGTGTTTATCATAAAGTTTAAATGGACACTCGTGCGGGCATCTAGAAGTTTTGACTCAACCCGTAAATTCCACAGATAGATAATGGAAATGGTGAAAATAGTACGACACCGTTGGTATAGTTTCCCGGAGTTATTGCCCGGAGTACATTTCCATTCGTATCAATTCCGTGGATTACGGAGTTCGTAGTTTTCACATTGAGTCGGTAAATTTCAATCTTTACTAGGAGGGTGCATAGTAATTTCAACTTCGACTCGTTTCGCCGATCGTTAAAACGTACAGCTGTCGTTGGAAATGTTGGTTAGGACTGGGGAAAAATGTTCGGTGCGTGGTTAACCGCACCTAAAACGTACCGAATTGCGAGTGATTAACCCAGTTTCCGTACCGTAATTAAAGTTTAGGCCGTTTGTAAATCTGAGTGCAAAAACAATGTGCTGCCCCGGATACCCTGGCGGAAATACTCTCTCACCCCCAAAATATTTTTGCAGCGTTGTTTACTGCCACCTACATCCCATCGCACGCATTTTCTCCTCCTCCTCGTGGCTTTGGGGTCATGCGTTTACGTGAAAACGCGTTTCTTTTTTGGAACAATAAAAACCGGCGAGTACTCGTAAAGATGAGACGGCGATTTCATTTTCAAAAAATTTCCAGGAAATTAAATTCCATCAAACTACTGGAGCAGGAGGAGGGGATCAGCTTACCGTGGAACAATTAATTATTCATGATACATTTCCTTTTCAATTCCTAACGAGCAATCTCGAAATGAGAAACGAACCGACCATTTGCTAAATGAAAACAGGGACGAAAGTAGGAAAACGAGACCTCGAATCTTCCGGTGAATAAGATTGACAAATCAATCGAGTTCAAACCGCGATTGTTCAACGTCCGAAAAAGAGACAGGATCTTCGTGAATAGCGTTCGGTTATTTCATGGGACAACAGGTGCCGATATTGCACGCGGACATTTTTAGGATTGCATTGTTACCTGTCCTTTTCATCATTCCCTGCGCTTTCATTTGTATTCTCTGTCTATTCACGACTACCAGAAGCCGAATTACCCATAGAAATTGCGTCGATCATCGTGATCCAATCACTGGAAATCGTTCTATTATAGTTTCACGCTTCTGTTCGGCTTTGCCCGTGCCCCGTTTCCTTTGCTTGATAAAAGTCTGACAATAAAGCTGAATGAAGGAAGAACAGGGATTTGGATCGATGATTCCCATACTTCCTGCTGGCATCATTATCGCCGCAGGCCTGCGACGTAACAGAGAGCCAATGGGCGGTTCTTTTTATCTAGATAGGGCGTCAGGATATCGTGATGATTGACGGTCTGACTTCGTGCTGTGTCAGCTGTGAGACAGATGCTTTTTATCGACTCATCGAACGGCCAGTTTTTGGTTCCCTGCGATCGCTGGTTAACTTTCTCGTTTAAATTAACTCGATTCATCGATAAAATGAAACAGGCAGAATGAGACAATACCGCGATATAAATAAAGAAGAATGGAATAAAAGGGAACAGTCCGGATGGACTAGAAAAGCACCTACAGTTTTAAGAACATATTATTAGATTCAAGGACACTCGTGAAGGATCTAAAAATAAAGCAACCTTTCCCTAGTAATTTTAGAAGTTACAGAGGACGCGATGGAAGCGACGCGTTCGACACGTAACCAACTTTGGTCTCGCAGTAGAAAGGGACGGCGCGAGTCAGACAGGCCGAACCCGTTCTTGCACGAGGTTGTACCGTTATTTATAGCAAGAAACACCAATTTCGCGACACGTCGCTGAAAGTTTGATAAACCCTTGACGATTTATCAACGCGTTGAAAATGATTATTTTCGTCGTGGTACCGAAGAGAGTGTGGAAGCTACCATCCACGACATTCGCTCTCTTGACACTTTTTCTCTGTCTCGCGTCGACGACCATTAATTATACGAACGTTGCGGTCCTCTCGTCACGTGGTAACCTGGTTCATAAATTGAAAGACCTATGCGAGAAGCCAAAAAACCGAACACGTCATGAAATCATTTGATCGACTTTGGTCGAAGCTGTTTGAAAGCTAGCTATCTTAGACTTAGGGTATCGAGACGGTAATTGACACCACTTTCACGGCTAAACCGCTTTCCAATTTTCTCCTTATTTTCACGACGTAATAACTTAGCAAGCTTGACGGCGTTTAGTCGCCGCGGTGTGGCGCGCTGTGAAAGCTGGTTGTGGAGGGGTGCTTGCTTCCAGAGAGCTGCTGGTAATGGCTACGTATATATAGACACTTCTTTACAAGGCGGTGCGATAAGCTCTCATTGGCGACCGAAGCGTAATCACTACGGCTTCCTGAAATAGCCTGAACCATCGTCCCCTCACACCTTTCGATCTTGTCGTTTCCCTTTCCTGGAATCCTTGGCGGAAGAACTTCGATCGGCGTGTAACAGCGTCACGTACGCATGGAACATTGTCATTGATGACTCAACTTTCGATCTTTCTTCGTACGATGCTAATTTTGATCGTCGAATTCAGAAATATTTGGAATTAGACACTCTGTCATTTGTAGATCTAGCGTGTTTTTTTTACAAAAGAATACAAAACGTTAAAATCAGGTTAAGACGAAGGATTTGAAGTCAGAAATTTTTGAAAGTTAGATAAATTATGTTCCCTTTCGATATCTCGAGGCTAACATGTAAATTTAACTCTTGTGGCTGCATCATCTTTGTCTTTATAAAATGTATAAAAGCAATAAGATTTACCTAAAAATCAATATTCTTTACATATGTATATACTTTGATAAAATAATAATACGTATACATAAAATATCGGTATAAATCAAAGTTGACTGCTGTTGTCCGAGAGTTAAATTATACCCATTTATATCATTTTATTGTGCAACGTCAAAGCGTTGGTGGTAACAATATCGCACCATATATCGTCGGAATATTCCTCGAATAGCTTAATACCAAACTGCGCAGTGGTTATCGAGAGCAATTATCATTTGTCCTGGCTACCTTAACGCGATGGTTCCCACATGACAAAGCGTGCCCATTTCCTCCGCTTGCAAACATTTGTCCGGGGGCGAAGATTGATTCTTTCCTCCCTCTCTGTAGGTACACATAAATTAGCATAATTGAAACGAGTGGTTCATTACACTTCTGTAATCAATACACAGGTTATTCCTGTAAAGGAGCAGCAGGAACGTTACCAAGATAATCCGATTCCTCCATTATCACCGATAAACCATAGCTGATACATATTAACAGTGATGAGCTGACGTCGATGAATGAATATTTTTAAAAGGATAATTTCTATACCTCGATACTTTCATATATATCACAATCGATTACGCACCTTAACTCGACGCGGACAATCGATTTTCTCTACCAGCTCGGAGCTTTCGTATCGAAAATACCGTATGCAAATTCAAGTATCCGTAAATTTTATTTATCCTGTCATATATCCTTTCCATTGATACAAGAAAACTGTGGATCATGCTCGCCAGGGATTTTACCCGGATACAGAGGAAAAAGTTTGCACGATAATCGATAATCGATAGTCAGCCAGTGGAGGCTATCTCGTTTAAAAGATCCTACCATGTGACTGTTGTATTATTAATTTCGACGATCAGAAGCTACATATTCCACGGGTTTTCTATTGGCTGTTTCATGAGCTTCGAAGATCTTGCTCCGTCGGTTTACATATTAACGCGCTGCAGCTTATGCGTGTACTGGTGGTTCACTTTCATACCCTCGTTACCATCGATGTATTGGCGGGATCAGTCGTAAAACGATCTCTAACGTTGATTTGTGTTTGCTATCGGGAAATTTATCTCCATCTTCCTTCCGATATGATATCGATCATCAAACTGCTCGGTTTGAAAGAACGACCGCGTAAATTATTCCACTGTGGATGCATGTTGCTGTACCAACGAAGCGGAAATTGAAGTATCCTTCAAATAAAAGCGACAACTTTCGGCTAAGTGACACCGTAATTTTCTTTAGAGACTGCCGCTGTCCCCACTCAAGATATTAGAAAAGTTCGTCGACATAATATAAGTTACGAAAGTGGTCGTGGCGAGAAATAAAGGGGCTATTTTGTTTCAAAATACGATTACGTAAAATGAGAAACGTCGCGAGTCGTTACGATCCATCAGTATTTACTCTTTTTATTAAGCAATATCAACCGAGTAATTACTCCTTAACTAACAATTACGGTGGCTCATTACCGAGCAACAAACAAAGAACGTCTCATCGTCTGTCCGAGTTTCAAGAAAATTGTGTCAAACCGGACTGTTCCTGTAAATTTTAAGGAGTTTAATTCCGCGTAATTGCCTAAGTTTTCGCCATAGCCTGCGGACATTGATTCGGAGACGACGTTAAGTAAGAATGGGAACAGTAAGAAAGGAACGAAAGCTGCTGGAAAGTTTTTAAGATCGAAGGTTTTTTATTTGCAAAGTCAGCCGTGAACGCGCCAGCCTTTTACCGAATGATCGTTATTTACTTTTCCACGAGGAGGTTCGGTTAGCATAGAGGGATGGAGAATGGTTGGAAAAAGTAGTCTACTGTTCGCTCGAATCGAAGACATTTTGATTTATGGCTGGAAAATGGAAATCTCGCGTTAGAACCCAGGTCGGGCCCCATGGGGGTAACCTGGTTTTTGGGCGCGGTTCAAACGGCATCGAATGGATATCCGATCTTTTTCCTCTGTCAGGATGTATGACAACGCTGAAGAATGTTAAAAAAGATATGGTGACAGGTTTGATCGATAC